AAGCTACACACACAAACGAAAATAGTCCATTATTCCCTATATATTACCTGGTTTGTTGCCCCTTGTGCACTGGAGAGGTCACTCGAATGAAAAAGTGATATCTGTTTTCTCGTAGATACAATTTAATTTGAAAAAGCGAACATCCCACCTTATGCCGCAATCTGAAAGAGAAATTTCGATTCGAATTTGATTCGAACACGGATGCCGTGATTCGGGCCCTGTTTTAGTTGAAAGAGGGAAAACAATTACTCTCCACTTCAAAATTTCATGATTAAAATTAGATTTGATTTAGTTTGCAGTTCGTTCCGCAGTTTCGAAAAAAAACGTATTGCAAAAGAAAAATATTTATGTAAACCGCTGACAGAGTTGCAATTTTACTTAAAAATTTTTTATGGCCAGAGTTAACTTTTCATTTTTATTTTAAATGTGTTCGATGACAAAATATGTATACGCTGCGTTCATTTAAATCTCTTTGCTTTCCGAATAATAATAATAGGTTTTTATCCTTTGCTGGTAAAAAGGATAGAAAATAAAATACAGCTAGCAAGTTGGTGGCTCTATCAATAAAGTGTAAAAGTCCGTGCAAGCTTATGTGTTCCTTTGTATACTTGTATGCAGGTTGCTGTTGCGTAGGACAAACAAATATTTTATACTGTTCTCGATTTTTGAAGACAGGGGTGGGTAGGTAGCATTCAACTACACTGAGGGGAAAAAAAATATTAAAATCAAATAGAAACGTAATTGATCTTACTATAAACGTCAACGAAAGTACTGTATATTGGTAAATATTCAATTCAATTACGCGCATATTAAAATGACCGCGTTCGCGTTGAAAAACCTTCCGTGAAGTGAATAATCAAGACAAAAACTAAAAAAAAAAAAATTATTTGCATGGTGCCTACAGTGGAATTCGAACCCGACCATCTCCGGATATCAACAACTTATGGCAAGCATCTTTGCGCACTCAGCTACACCCAGNGCACGCGATTTGTACTATGTATGTATGTGTGTGTTGTCACCGCTCTCAGAGCGGCGCTCTGCATGCTTGGGGTGCGTATGTACACTTCCATATACATACTCAGATGTGAACAGTCAAATACGTGCGTAATAAATTTTGTATGAAAATATTATTCTTAGATACGAACCTTTTTAAACGATAATCAAATATTAAGCATTCACGTTTACTATGCATTATTTCCCTCAGTGCACGTTTTTCGATAAGACATATCAGTGTTGCCATTTTAGCCGTTTTCCGGCTAGATTTAGCCGGTTGCGATAGCAAACAGCCGGAAAATTTCGATTTAGCCGGCAGCCGATTTGTTAGCCGTTTTACAGCAAAAAATTAGCCGTTTTTAGCCGATTTTGCTATTTGCCTTGTTTTCTTAAATTTCAAATATGTATATACATATGTTTCCATTTTTGACTAAGCGACTCAAAATCTGTTAGAAATGGCTACTAGCCTTATCGTGGAGAAAATTTTCATGTCAGGCAGGCTGTATGAAATTGGGCCCATTTCGCTTTTTTTTTTTAAACGAAGAAGGGATTTTCTTCATAAAATGTTTGTTATAAATGTCTTAATTTTAAGTGTGAAGTTTTATTCGCAAACTTAGAAAAT